TTTATGGTTTTGATGATTAGACAGGATAGATTATAGAAAGAAGAGAGTTATGTTGTAACCAGGTAAATTTATAATTGTACTTACAAGTGCTGTAAAGAAGATCGGACATTACTTCTTTGTCTCTTTTTTCTTCCTTTTCTATTTTTCTTTTACCTTTTTTTCCTTTCCTGCACTTTTAGCTTTCTCTTTGATCTCTTTCTTTTTCTTTTTCTTACTTACTTTTCTTAGTTTTCATCTTCCTTTTTAAAAAACCTTTAATAAAAAATTATATATATAAAAAGAGGAAGAGAAACACTCTGAGCAAGCCGAAAGCAAGCACCATGGTCACACCACCGTTCCTCAGCCCCTGCTGCTCAAGCCGACCATCTCACCCTGCAAGTTGGGACCCAAACAGCCTTGTGCAGACCAGGTCTCAAGTTGGGAAAAGTGAAGCTGGGCTCTTCCGGGTCAGTTTGTTTTTTGGGAACCAGAAGTAGAAAAAAGAGGAGGTCTGTAGATGGAAACTGACGCGGGGGAAGTTTTTGGCTGGAGAAGCTGGAGCCGAAGGGAACCTCGTGATGCTGAGTCAGACGCGTTGCCATCTGTAGCCTGGCAGAGCATCTCTTCAGCTATTTGGGCTGAAGGGGGGGGGGCATTTCAAATTTTGCAAGGAGCCCCCAGCCCCCCTCCCCATCTTTTGGGCCTGGCCACAAAGTGGGGAGTCAGAGATGTCCCTGACTGTGTCCACACAATGGCTCAGTTGACCCATGGTTTGGGTTCACACGATGTATTGAATCAGGAGCTAATCCAATAGCCTAAAACAGCCCAGTCCAACTGAGTATGCTGGCTGGTGCACTTGCTAGGACCTTCACCGACCTGGGTGACGTGTTGTGTGAACGCTGGCCCAGGGTAATTGATTCAAGCCTGCGGAGGGAGAAAAATGCTCTGCTCTTCTCTTTTTTCCAGCATTAAAAAGTGCGCTACTAAAGAATAACTGAGGGCTGGAGATGGATGGCAATAAATATTGGTAAGGAGCAAGATTATTCTTCCTGCCCCTTTGCCTCAAGGAAAACAAAATCTCTTTGCTTGTAAAATGGCTACCCCGCGTTTTCATTTGTTTTCATTTATATTCCTTAGTAAGCCCGTTTATTTCCCCTTCGATCCATGGCCACTTGCATTTCTGTCCTGAAAGCATTTGAATGCACTGAGGTCTGTCTGAATTTGTCGGCTCAGGACAGCGTTCTCCAAACCAGAGCAGGGCTGTGACTCCTAGTAACACAGATCCAGCACCAGGGGTTCTCTGGTGATGGTGGGAATTGTAGTCCCAGCTCATCTGAGCATGCCTGGTTGGAAAGTTTAAGGAATACTGAATGGCAGGGACCTGGGCTCAATTACCACAACTGGAAATGTGAATCTTTGCATTTTATGGATGAGGGAGCAAAAACCAAGATCGAGTTTGTCACGAAAAAGTGAGAGGAAAGCTTCCAAAGTCAAAAAATTGCCTTTAGATGCAGTGAAAAACTCTTGAAGACATCCAGCGTGTGACATTTGCCTGAATCATCCATTGGCAGCCCTGGAAAATGCCACATTTTGGCGAGGGCTGTTTGACTCCGCAATTCCCCAGCTGTTTCCAAGGTTATTATTTCGAACCTTATGCTAGAATTGGAGGGGACTCAAATGTCTTCTGCAAGGAGAAAGTGGGATTGCCGTCAAAGGCGCTCAGTTAAAGAACACCGACAAAATCCAGGATAAGGTACTCTTCCTGAACGGCTTGGCTGCAAAATTCTTTCATAGCTACCTGTTGGATCACTTTAACAATAAAATATGTGTGTCTGTTTTTAAAAAATTTCTTGATTATGGATGAACTGATTCTGTCAGAGATAAACAACCTCAGTGGTCATCTGTAACAGAAGACACTGGCATTTAGTGCGACTGTATATTTTACTGCTTTAAAGTAAAAACCTTTTCTTTTGATCCTGTCTTTTCAGAGGTAATTCTGGAAATTGTCTTATTTTTCTCCTTTTGCTTTCCCACATGGTGGCATGTATATTTTCCCCTTTTTTTGGTCTGCAGCCCCTGGAAAAAGGCTGAGCCTGGCCTTTAGCCAAAAACAGAGTTACTGAAATATTTTTCCATAAATCAGCCAGTTGTTGCACCAAACGGTAGAGCAACTTGATTTTGAAATAAGCCCTTATTTTGTGAAAAGACATAGCGGTCGATCAGAGATTTTGCATCCAGAAAGGATGAGGTTCTGTTTTGGCTTTTCTAGGAATTGCTGAAAAAAGCCCCTCTGAAACTTAAGAGCTGTTAAGCATTCGATATAAATGAGACACCGTAATGGATGGATCCACAAGCTCATGCCGTTCAGCCAAAACCTTCTCTTGAAGTGAAGGAAAAGAAAAAGAAATGCTTAAACTGAAAAGTCTTCTTTAGCATATTCTTTTCCATTTCCTGTGACAATCCCACACCGGAATCATGGTGTTCTTCTCTTCCAGAATTCAGGACAGTAGACAAATTCTTTCAGCACTCAGTGAATTTTAAAGTGCAGATAGAAAGGACCTATGCTTTAAACCCAGCTCCTTTCATGGTGTTCCTCTCTTCTGGTTGATCCAACCTGGTGACCTTAGATTGGTTGCGCAACATCTGGAGAACATCAGGCTGAGAAACCAATTCACCAATATGCAATTTTTTTTTTCTTCCTAGCGTTTTTCCTGCAGGTGCAGGGTCCAATTTTCTTTTCTTTTCTTTTCTTTTTTGGATCAACTGAATGTTGATCCATTGGTTGCAACAGGAATTGACCGACCAGCTTGTCATCCAAGCCTGATGTCATGGGCTGAGAGAGAGGGACTGGCCCAAAGTCACCCAGCTGGCTTTCATGCCTAAGGTAGAACTAGAACTCGCAGCCTCCTGCTTTCTCACCTGGAGCCTTAACCACTAGACCACTGTTTTTCAAACTTGGCAAGTTAAGATGTGTGGACTTCAACTCCCAGAATTCCCCAGCCAGCATGGCTGGCTAGGGAATTCTAGGAGTTGAAGTCCACACATCTTAAAGTCCCTGACGTTGAGAAACACTGGCCTAATCTGCGATGAATTCTGGGAGTTGAAGTCCACACATCTTAACATTCCCAAGTTTGAGAAACACTGCATTAGACCAAACTGGCTCTCTTAGTGCTGAAAATTTAAGAGAAATGTTGCAAAGAACATCGCTCCCTTATGAACTTGACGTTTGTCAGTTAAACTAATAAACTCGTGTGTTTTTTAAATTGGTGGGTAAAAACTTTGTTTGGGGGCTGCCTGGGTAGCACCACCTGAACACATTTACACACCCTTATTCATGGTTGCTCTCCCTCTGTCTCTCTCACACACCCAGATATTCATTCCTGGCTCCTCTTGAACAGAGCTGGTGGAGCGATGCTGCCAAAACGATCTCTCCTTCTCATCAACCTGCTTGCAACTCTGCTTTGCAAAATTTCCAGCAGGGCTGGGGAAATAAGGAACTGAATTCTCTTGGCTCTCAGCAATTCTGCTCAGGGATGGGTCTCCTGTTGCTGGCAATGGCAGAAGTTAGAGCTCTATTTCCACTGACCAGCCAATGGGGTTCATAAGCTGGTCCGTTGGCAAACAGAAGACACATCCAACATCTGCATCGACTGGACTTTTTGGACTGAAGGAATAGAGGTGGATTGCCTACTCGCATGTTCAATAGAGAATTAGCAATCTTTACATAACAGGTGGTGTGGCTGGAGAGGAGACCACCAGAAATTTCTAGATTGGAAAGTTAAAAAAAAAAAATCTATAAGGCAGTAGCAAACTGTATGGGTACATGTGGTCCCCAGGAGTTAGTAAGTCAAGCAAGCTTTTCAAAACATAAAACATATGACCACACCTTTATTGTTCTAGGAAAGCATCGTGCCAGATGTTACTTCAAAGTGTGGCATATGCTTTTAAAAGTGGGGGAGAATGTTGATGCTTTCTACAGCCAACCTAGCGATGCTTACGTAGTTTTAACAGAAAAACATCCCCACCGGAAAAATAGGTTTTGGACATCCAGCTAGAGGAAAATCACCCTGTTCTTAGTCTCATTGCTGCAAGCCAACTCCATCCCCGCATTTTCCAGTGGGGCAGGCCGTCCGACTCGCAATTTTTATGATGCCTTTATTAAAAATAATTAGGTGACAATAAAGCAGCAGCTTGGGAAAGATGAACTGGTCTCTGCACTGAATTGCTCAATTATTGCATCCGATCGGAGGTTAGCTTGCTGGTGGGAAGCGTGTGTAGGGAGGGGGGCACCCCTCCAGCAATGATGGGGGCAGCATTACGTGGCTCCAAATAATTGATCCAAACAGTATAAATAGGCAGGGGATCCAGGCAGGAATCAGATGCAAACGGCAAGAAGGCAAGCCAGTAGGATTGCCCGTTTGCCAAGCCTTCTAAAATGCCGGCTGGGGCTCTTGCTGTTTATCTCTTCTGCCTTCTCGCCATGTCTTCAGCCTGCTACATCCAGAACTGCCCCCGGGGAGGAAAGAGAGCACTGCCCGATGCAGAAATCCGACAGGTAAGGCAGAGAGTCCCAGGACTCACCCTTCCAGCCTTCATCCTCGAGGAAGAACAATTCCAAGCGGGGTCTTCTCCTCCTTCCCATTCTCCTTCCCTTCTCCCTACATTACCAAACTTTTAGTTTCAAGCAGGGTGGTGGCTCTGTCAGTGAGCCACACCTGTGACCTGAAAGGTAACCCCCCCCAAAGGTGAAAGAGCACAGGGGAGAATATAGGAGCAAAACTGAATCTTGAAATCTTGATAGATCTGTGCTGGTTGGAGATGGTGAGTTTGCAATTCACCAGAGGACACCAAGTTGGGGGTAAGGTGGCGCACCTATATGGGAACATGGCTAAAAAGTATGCAGGTTTACCGAGAGAGGCATTTTAATACCCAAATACTTCAAGTGCATAACTTTCTTTTAAAGTGCATTGGATGGTTTTCACCCTTTTCTTTACAAAACTGTGGCTCTGTAGGCATAAGATGCTGTATCAAGTTCGTTAAACATCTAGAAGACACAGAAGCAAAACTTGAAAAGCTTAGTTTGGTGCTAAGCTTGGTTTGTGTGTGTTGGGGGTGGGTAAGGGTTGTGAGAATCCTGCCTATTCGGTTAGGTAGCTAATGGTTCAGTGGTGCAAAACACGTAGCTGCACAATTAAGTTGGGTGTACTGTGCAAACCTAGGTATCTGTAAATTCATTTTTGTTATTTCATGTAATATCCAATAATGCCAGCCTATTGATGGTGATTTAATCCATAAGCCACCATTGCTTTTCCAACACAATTCTAAGCTTGTCTACACAGATGAAATCCAATGAATTCAGTATCTTTACTCCGTCATTTAATATAATTAATAAATGAAACATATTCCGCTAAAGTTTAGAGTCTTAATTTTTTTTTACCCTTTCTGTGTTTGGTATAAAGCTGTCAACAGATTGGGAAAAAATAGCCAACTCAATTCTTGACTTTTTTACAACATTTAGGTCTTTGGAAATCAACCTCAAAATAAATACAGAGGTTTGCTAATATCTTGCACACTGTGATTCTTCAAAGAGATGTTGCTAATATCGGTACACACAGTTGTCCTTAAAAGATACCTGTGTATACAAAATAGGTATGCCTCTAAAAATAAACTAAAGCCAGATGGAAGATTATGCGTATTTGAGGCAACCTTCTCAGCGTAAAACAAGTTAATCTATTTACACCACAACCATCCCATTGTAGTAAATATTGCTATTCTGATTTAAGCAGCTTGCTTGGAAGAGATAAAGCAATATAAATACAGTATTCTTTTAGGAGAAAATGATTCCTTTTCTTCCATGAAATCACACCAGTGGAAATTGTAGCTAAACGATTCAGTGCCATCAGCTTGTTAAATCTGATCACCTTTGCAGAATGACAGATTATTGTGAGAAAAGAAGAAAAGAAAAGAAAAAAGTCCGTGAACCTTGTGGCCAAGAAAAAGGACTTGCAGAGAGTCCCACCACTTTGTTCAGTGAAAGTGGCGAGGAATACTAAAGCAAGATATAAGAGTAAAGCTACGTTAGGTAAAGATACCCTAGAATTCAAATCCTGCACGGACACGACCATGTGGTTGTGGATTTTTTTGCCAGCTGTACCATTGCTTCATTCTGAGATGTTTTTTGACTACCCAATCTAGTTTACAGCCCTGGGATTTCCTTGTGATTTCCCATCCAAGCTCTAAATTCAAGTCTCCTTGGAACTGAACTCAGTTCCTGGGGATTACCTATTGTTTTCTTGGCAACCACGTGGAAGACACGCTATTTCCTTCTCCTAGGGTTATTTTTAGATTTCCCAGGCTAAGCGATAGCCCTGGGGTTTCCTTGTGGTCTCCCATCCAAGTCTTAACCAGGTTCGACCTTGTTCGGCTTTTTGAGATCAAGTGAAGTGAGCTAGGGGCGCCCACCTAGATGAGCAATGGCAAGCTAACACCGCAGGTTAACCGGCTTTATCCAACCCGCTTCACGCAGGCTATGATTACAGCTTTCAGAGTTCCCAGGCAGAAAGCTTCTGCCTTTTAGTAAAATTGGTTAGTCCGAAAATGTGCTGCCAGACTCCTCCTGATTTTTGGCTACCATAAACTAACACGGCTCTCCTGCAAGGTCCACAGGCAGAATCCAGAGATCCCGTCTTGGGAACAGCTGCCCGAAACTTTTTATGAGGGCTGGACGCGGCTAGGGAACAACGAACTCAGCATCAGGTTAAACTAACGAGGTCTGATCTCTCCCAACTTACTCACCGTGGTATTCCTGGGAGCTGTGTGGCTTTCAAAGTTTTATACCAGTCCTGGTCCCTTACATTTTTCATTTTACCACTTTGGCTTTCTCTGGCATACTCCTGGGTAAGCGTGCCTGGGATGAGAATGTCCCATGGCTTTTGAAAGAGGCTTGAAGGATTGGCCTCCTGTGATGGCCATTTAGGGAACCTCCAGGTTTAGCAGCAGTCTACCTCAATGTTTGGGGATTTAGCGGTGGGAAGGGGCTTCCGGAGCTTAGTGTGAACTTATGCCTCCAGATGTTAATCCTCTCCTTTTCACTTCTCCCCATCCCTTGTAGTGTATCCCTTGCGGTCCTGGAAACAAAGGGAACTGCTTTGGCCCCAGCATCTGTTGCGGGGAAGAGCTGGGTTGCTATTTTGGTACTTCTGAGACTCTGCGTTGCCTGGAGGAAAATTTTCTCCCTTCTCCTTGTGAGGCCGGTGGGAAGCCCTGCAGCGCGGGCGGGCGATGTGCTACCTCTGGCATTTGCTGCAATGACGGTATTTATTGGGGGAGAGCCAGGAGCGGGGTGGGGGAGGCGGAGAGAAAAAGAAAAACCGGATGAGATGCAAAACCCTAATTCCACTAATTCAGCCAGATTTTATTATGATCAGTGGTGTGCATTTTTTTTCTTAAGCCCTAAAACATTCTGTTCTCTACCCCAGTGTTTCTCA